ATTCAGATATTATACATAATTTTGTTAATAATGATTCTTAAATTTAAAAAAATTAATTGTTAAAGTACTTTATTTTCATAAATTTTAAAAAATTTAATATATAATTATATAATTAAATATTAGTAGGTACCTACATGTATGAATACTATAATATTCATACCCGCTCTATTAGTGTGAGTATAGAAAATATTCATACCCATTATCTATGAGTACCTATTTACACTATTGCAAAGGACCCTTTTTACGTCGGGTATTTCAAGCTTTTTACGTCCCAAACGCAGCCAACGTTAATACGGGAGACGTAAATTTACGTCATCTCTTGAAGGCGACGTAAATTTACGTCGGATATTTAGCTATCCCGACGTAAAATGGGCCTAAAAACACCCCAGAATTTACGTCGGACAAGACCATGTTCGACGTAAATTTAATCTATTTGTTATTGTGTGTCAAAGTTATGGTTGGTAGGAATGACCACACTATTGATAACACTCTTCAAGTGTTAGCAAATGCTATAGAGATTGATAGAGCTGGAGTTGCTCTTAGCTAGTTGGAGCATTTTCAATGTAACCATCTGCCTTTTTTCAATGCTTCCTCTAATGTGAAGGAGCTTTACTAAGGATAATGGCTGAAGCAACGATGGTTAACTAGGATAAATTCAAAAGGGTTTTCTTGGAGACAACACAATTGCTATATATGCTGCTAAGTTTGATGAGCTTGTATGATACTACTCTCACTACCATGATGAGGGGTGGTGAAAGGGCTAAGTGCATTGAATTTATGAATGGCCTTCGTGTTGAAACCTGAAAAATTCCATTCTCGCCCACAGATGATTTAGACTTCCGTTCAAAAATCTCATCAGTTAGGAAATGTCTGGAAACCAGACTAATCCATAATCAATGGTTTTAGAAAAAAAGTTTGAAGAAGTCGCCACCAATGTTTTACTCAAAAAAAATAGAAAAAGAAAAGGTTTCCAAAAATTAATTATGGCCTTGACAGCCAAAGTTAGGTTCGAGGGTCAATTACGCATAGGGAAGGTATTAGACACCCTACAACGCCCTATATTGGTACCCTATGATGAAATTAGCGTAATAAAGCATAATAGTTTGAATATTTAATTCTCCTTTTATTAACTATTTACGTATTATTATAATTACTTATATAAAAAGAAAAGGGGTTTAGACCCCACACGTTTGAAAATTAAATTTCTACATGACTACGGCTTATTTATAACAAAGTTGTGTATACAAAGCAATTTAAATAAACCGAGAGATGGGAATTATTGAAAATACCTCCAAAGCGAGCTTTTTATAGAATTTTTCCTTCAAATGTGGGGTTCAGACACTTTTTGGCAGCCTTTCACTCTACAATAACTCTCATCAACTCACACTACAAAAAAAAGTCATTTTAGCCACCGAAATTAGCGACCGAATTCCTTTTGTCACTAATAGCGACTTAATTAGCGACCGAATTTGATTTGGTAGCAAATTTTATTTAACAACCGAATTAACGATCGAATTTTGTAGTGGCTAAAAATTGATCGCTAAATCGGTAGCTAAAGTAACAAATGCTGGTTAAATTAGCGATAGAATGGTTTCAGTCGCTAACAAAATAAAAAAAATATTATTTATGATAAATTTAGCGACCAAATCAAAAATCAGTCACTAAAAAAATAAAATTAATATTATTTGTAACAATTTTAGCGACCAACTAAAATCGGTGGCTAAAAAATAAAAAAATTATTATTTATAATAAGTGTAGCGACCGAAATAGAATTGGTCGCTAATTAAATAAAAAATAATATTATTTATAATAATTTTAGCGACCAAATTAAAATTGATCGCTAAAAAAATAAAAAAAAGATTATTTAAAATAAAGTTAGTGCAAAATCTGAATCGGTCGCTAAAAAATATATATTTATTATTTATAATAACGTTAGCGACCGAATTGTAATTAGTAGCTAAAAAATATTATTATTTTGAAATAATTTGGTAGGAATGACCACACTATTGATAACACTCTTCAAGTGTTAGCAAATGCTATAGAGATTGATAGAGCTGGAGTTGCTCTTAGCTAGTTGGAGCATTTTCAATGTAACCATCTGCCTTTTTTCAATGCTTCCTCTAATGTGAAGGAGCTTTACTAAGGATAATGGCTGAAGCAACGATGGTTAACTAGGATAAATTCAAAAGGGTTTTCTTGGAGACAACACAATTGCTATATATGCTGCTAAGTTTGATGAGCTTGTATGATACTACTCTCACTACCATGATGAGGGGTGGTGAAAGGGCTAAGTGCATTGAATTTATGAATGGCCTTCGTGTTGAAACCTGAAAAATTCCATTCTCGCCCACAGATGATTTAGACTTCCGTTCAAAAATCTCATCAGTTAGGAAATGTCTGGAAACCAGACTAATCCATAATCAATGGTTTTAGAAAAAAAGTTTGAAGAAGTCGCCACCAATGTTTTACTCAAAAAAAATAGAAAAAGAAAAGGTTTCCAAAAATTAATTATGGCCTTGACAGCCAAAGTTAGGTTCGAGGGTCAATTACGCATAGGGAAGGTATTAGACACCCTACAACGCCCTATATTGGTACCCTATGATGAAATTAGCGTAATAAAGCATAATAGTTTGAATATTTAATTCTCCTTTTATTAACTATTTACGTATTATTATAATTACTTATATAAAAAGAAAAGGGGTTTAGACCCCACACGTTTGAAAATTAAATTTCTACATGACTACGGCTTATTTATAACAAAGTTGTGTATACAAAGCAATTTAAATAAACCGAGAGATGGGAATTATTGAAAATACCTCCAAAGCGAGCTTTTTATAGAATTTTTCCTTCAAATGTGGGGTTCAGACACTTTTTGGCAGCCTTTCACTCTACAATAACTCTCATCAACTCACACTACAAAAAAAAGTCATTTTAGCCACCGAAATTAGCGACCGAATTCCTTTTGTCACTAATAGCGACTTAATTAGCGACCGAATTTGATTTGGTAGCAAATTTTATTTAACAACCGAATTAACGATCGAATTTTGTAGTGGCTAAAAATTGATCGCTAAATCGGTAGCTAAAGTAACAAATGCTGGTTAAATTAGCGATAGAATGGTTTCAGTCGCTAACAAAATAAAAAAAATATTATTTATGATAAATTTAGCGACCAAATCAAAAATCAGTCACTAAAAAAATAAAATTAATATTATTTGTAACAATTTTAGCGACCAACTAAAATCGGTGGCTAAAAAATAAAAAAATTATTATTTATAATAAGTGTATCAAGTGTTAGCAAATGCTATAGAGATTGATAGAGCTGGAGTTGCTCTTAGCTAGTTGGAGCATTTTCAATGTAACCATCTGCCTTTTTTCAATGCTTCCTCTAATGTGAAGGAGCTTTACTAAGGATAATGGCTGAAGCAACGATGGTTAACTAGGATAAATTCAAAAGGGTTTTCTTGGAGACAACACAATTGCTATATATGCTGCTAAGTTTGATGAGCTTGTATGATACTACTCTCACTACCATGATGAGGGGTGGTGAAAGGGCTAAGTGCATTGAATTTATGAATGGCCTTCGTGTTGAAACCTGAAAAATTCCATTCTCGCCCACAGATGATTTAGACTTCCGTTCAAAAATCTCATCAGTTAGGAAATGTCTGGAAACCAGACTAATCCATAATCAATGGTTTTAGAAAAAAAGTTTGAAGAAGTCGCCACCCATCGATAGTAATTTCGGATAAAATCCATAAATATTTCTACTAATACGATGGTAAACTAAAGGTCAATGCCTAAAAAAGTCAATCTTTAATGCATCTGGAACAGTCCGTACTGAAATCAGAACGGGCCATTCCAGATCAACAATTTACAAAATCAAATATTTAAGCAGAACGGCCCGTACTGCTTGCAGAGCGGCCCGTTCTGCAAGGAGAACGGCCCGTTCCAGATGAACAAATAGCACAAAATAATAAAAAAAATTGCGTACAGAGGAAACTAACCTCAAACGTGTAATGTGCAGACTGTTAGACACTTAGAAATGTCAAATGTGGAAACAAAGCTACTTCGAGACTTAGAGAATAAGAGAGAAGAAGTAATATTTTCGTAAGTGGGACGCGCGGGAATGAAAAATGGAGAGGTGGTGGCATTTTAGTTGAAAACTTACGTCGATGGTGGTGGTCCGACGTAAATTTACGTCGTAGCATATGTGGTCCGACGTAAATTTACGTCGGCCTGTGTGGCGTGCGACGTTGATTGACTAATTTACGTCAGACTCCCGTTTGTCCTTACGGAACTGCCACCGCGTTTTTACAAGTCGGGGCTTCGTTTTTATGACGTAAAATGAGTGACGTAATAACCCATTTTTGTACTAGTGTTATGGGTACAGATTTTTTTAGCATCCCTGTATTAAAGTATCATCATCACACTGTAAATGTGAAATGTATGCAGGTGTTCAATGGTTTGTTTATCAAGTTTTACATATTATATAATAAATAGATAGATTGACAAAATAATAAAATTGTATCAATGTTAGTTACAGCTATCATGTGTTCACCAACCTTCTTTATGATTTTTCATAATCAATTTAAAGAATCTTCTTCAACATTTAATCACTCCTTTTTTTATTATTTTATTTTCAAACTCCTTTTTAGGAAGAATAATATATCATGGCTCATATTTTGTCATATTTTAGAATGCGTCATATTTCAATCTCTCCTATACACTATTTTAAATTCATCCACGCCTATGATTGTAAAATAATATAGCCAATTAATGCTCTTTACATATGGCAAGAGAACTAATTATTTTATTTTATTTTAATTTTTTTTACCTTTCTCTTTTCAATAATTCCATTCTCAATCAATCTTGCATTTAATACGTTGGTTCCTTTATTCTCATTTTCCACCCGATCCAATTACACATTTAAAAATTTCTTTCATACCATCCGTACGTAGTTATGTACATAAAAAAAATACATATCACTATTATATTCCATGTCATAATTGGTTTACCACTCAATATTTTTGAAACACATGCAATGTAGCAAAATGAGCCCCGACTAGCAAAGAATGGGGCTATTAGTGCAAATGTTAGTTTCTTTCGGAAGAATGTAAATAAAAGAAGCTCAAAAGGAAAAACCGTACATGTCTTTGAAAATTTCTTTTGAGATGTAAGTACATTTTTTTTTTGGTCTAAATAGGGCATCATAATCTTCTAAAAATACTCAAAATCTTCATGAGAAGAATCAGGTTGTGTATGCCTACTTTTATCACTTGCATAAATATCTGCGATCTTTTTGTCTACTGGGGCCACATTTTCTTTGCTAGCATATTTAGAATAGTTGAAAGGTTTTGGTATAATAGGAGGTGCAGCACTTCTAATAAGAGCCCAATTCACTCCATCAAAGAAAGGGTGTTGTTTTATTTCCGTGGCACCTCTCTTATAAGCAAATCTTTTCTGAGGCTCTTTCACCAACAACCCTTTTATAAGGTCTCTTGCCACATTACTAACACGGGGTTTTTCTGGGAACCTTAAGGGTTGCCCTACAACATTGTAGAGTGTGGCTTTGTTTCCTGTGCCCTTAAAGGGTGTTATGCCATGCAAAAGCTCATACAAGAAGATCCCAAAAGTCCACCAATCCACTGCACTACCATGTTTTTCTGGGAACCTTAAGGGTTGCCCTACAACATTGTAGAGTGTGGCTTTGTTTCCTGTGCCCTTAAAGGGTGTTATGCCATGCAAAAGCTCATACAAGAAGATCCCAAAAGTCCACCAATCCACTGCACTACCATGTCCTTCACCACGGATAATCTCTGGTGCAAGATACTCGTGTGTCCCTACAAAGGACATTGACCTCACATTTGTAGGCTCTGCCATTAGTTCTGGGAGGCTTCCTCCAACCATGAGGCCAAAATCTGACTTTGACTTACGATTCTTTTTTGGATGCAAAATGCGTGGGAAGAAACTTGAGGACAGTATGCAACCGTACACCACTTGATCATCATGAAAAATGGCCCCAGATGGACCATTACTGCTACTACTACGTTGATCATGTGCAGATGATGACTTCACAAGTGTAGGGTTGACAGTGCAACGAAGGGATAGGTCAAAATCCGATAACATTATGTGACCTTCATCTCGAACCAGAACATTCTCTGGTTTTAAGTCTCTATACACAATGCCTAGCATGTGCAAGTATTCCAAAGCTAACAAAATCTCTGAACAATAAAACCTGCATGTCGCAAAAAATAAGAGGGAATTTTTAAATTGGTTTTGAAAACTTATTTCGGAAATGCTCAGTCAAATGGTTATTATTCCAAAATTTAGATGGCAAAACAAAGATTATCAAAATTTTCACTTTAATCATGTAAATTTGAGGATAAACATCTCAACAACATGTTTTTATTTTAATATTATTGCATTCTTAACATGATGCTAATGTACTATTGGTCTAATGGATTAGTTGGCGCATATGCATATCATACCTGTTAGTATTACCATGAAAATGCTTAGTATTCTTTTTACAACATAGAATAGGAAAACGAAAAGGATGTATAAGAAAGAAGAAAGCAAATTCAAATACTATTTCATTTATTATCAAAAGTATGTATAAACACAAAATAACAATAAAAGAATGCAATAAAAAAATTATTCCAGAAATGGTAGATAAGTTCCAATTATTGTTATAAATTTACATCCATAATTTAGAAGGATAATTGTTAGGAACAAATAAAGTAAACTGCACTTGTTTTATTGAAATTGTCTGACATCTTATTTCATATTAAGGAGACAATAAAACTACTATGTTTAATTATTTATATTTAACATATATAGCAAAATAAGATCATGGATAATAATTATTGTAGCATAAATGTCGACCTACATATGTACCACTTTGGTAGAATCCAAGTCCAATGTATAAGAATGTATTTAAGTACTCACATGCCATTGAACTAAAATCAACTCTTCAGTAACTAACCGTGCAGCGTCTTCAGTGAAATACTTGTTATATTGCTTCAATCGAAGAGAATGCAGGCTACCACTACTGCAAAACTCCATGACCAAACAATAGTATTTATCAGTTTCAAAATAAGAATATAAAGTTGGCAAAAATGGGTGGTCGAGAAGTCCAAGAATCTCTCTTTCTGTTTGTGCTCTAAAAAGCTTGTTTCTACTTGCAAGTGATGCCTTATCCATTACTTTCATGGCAAAGAATGCATTACTTCCTTTAAGCCTCACAAGGTACACACTTCCAATATCTCCATACCCAACACGCTTTAGAAGTGTGAAATGGCTAAGATTAAGAGCATTACCTTTGGAAACCATGTTAATTGCATCCCACCTTACATCACCTCCAGTATGTGGCTTAATATGTCCACTACTAATGTTCTCTAAACTATCACTACGAGAGTTAGTGCCACTACCTTGACCTTGGTTGGTTTCTTTTGCAGGTAAAGAAAACACTTTTGGAGTTTCTGTTATTACTCCTAATGAGGTGGTTGAAGGGTTAGAATTTGAAAGCATTCTTGCACTTGGACATGGGCGTTGAGTAGTGGAAAAATCATAAATGTTCCTAGTAGGATTTTCTAACTTCTGAGGTTTAGATGTTGGTTCACTTGTCATGTTTGAATTGTTTTCAGAAGTTTGGTGTATTTGTCTTGCTCCATTGTTTGTGTAGTCAACTGTGGAGGCATTATTTATTGCTTGATTTACCTCTTTGACATGACTTTCAAAACTATTTTCTGAATTTCTACAAGCATGATCCATCTTGAGAGTCTCTTGTAGATTGTAATTCATCTGCATTTGAAATTCAAGACTTGATAAATTTCCACATGTCTCAATCACTGTCATGGAAAGTAACCACTAGTATAATAAATAATATTGTCGTCATAAATTAATGCATTTATCAATGTTTTTAAAAAATCATGGTTGCATTATGATTGTTTTCTCTTGGTAATTAGTGTTGGTGTTAAAATGAAAAATGTAATTCTTAATTACATTAAGTGAATTAGTCACTTTGATAGGCTTTGATGCCATTAATGGACAATGTAATGGCAACCATTAAGAGAAACTTTTGCGAAACCGCATTGAAAATTAAGTTAATTATAATATGTTACACATTAACTAATTTCTCAATATCATATATTAAATGTACTTTATGGTTTACTTCTCTCTTGCCTATGTTTGTTAACAAAAATATTTTAAGGAAAACATGTTTCATTTTCTGTCAAGCCCTGATATTAGAAAGTTGTAAAAGTAAGTAACTATTTTTTCAAAATAAATCGAAAGAAATACACAACCATAAAACCTCTTATGTTAAGTAAGTAGAATGCATTAGAATTTCCTTTTAACATAGAGAAAGAATCATGTCTACAAAATGCATGGCACAATATATAAGCGTTTAAGCTCATAAGGAAATTAAATCTCAAGTCATAATGAAATGTCAAATAAACAAGGTAAAAGTGGTCAATGTCATATGCACGTGTGCGTATATATATTTACAATGATTAAAAATTAAATCATTTTAGTCTATATGATGATTAACATGTGAACTTCAAACTCTAATGGTATTCGTTATAAACTGGCGTGTTGAGAAAAAGAAGAAGGAAAACTCATCAAAGGAGAGATGTCAATGATATATTTGATCAAAATAGAAAGTTAAAAAATCAATAAAACCTTATAACTTCACAGGCTCCCTGAGAATAATGAGTCTTTGAATAAAACTAATAAAATGTAACCCCCGTGCATGCAGGTGGATGAAGAGCCATCTTTGGATTTCGCAATATTACAAAAATTGAAAAAAAAAGATAGAAAGAAAGAGAAGGAAAGAGATAAATGTATAATATTCTTTGGTTAGGAAAGAAATGACTCATGGTTATTGAAAATAACAGGTTCTTGATTAGATCACCACCCATCATCATAAACTAGGAGTTCTTGAGAGGAAATTTGTGGAACAAAAGGGAGAAGATAATAATAGACCCACAGATTGGAAAAAATATATTAAAAAATATTTATATATATATAAAAATAGACAATCACAAAGAGATGATGAAACCAATGTGTTTGTAAGCATATAGTACTTCAAAAGAGAGAAGGATAAAAAGACAAAGTGAGAGAGAGGAAATGGTCATTGCCAATAAAACGTACGTATGGATATGCGTTTAATTCTCCTACGAAATAATGGTTTAACTAACTCTATTAGGCTTGATTGGTTTACGTGTTTTCTGTTTTTATTTTCACTGAAAATGAAAATTTCACCATTTTTAAAGAAAAATGAAGAATGTGCAGTGAAAACAGGAGGCATGTGATGTAATTTTAATAACATTTAGTGACTTTTGTATGTTTTTTTTTTCTTCTCCATTGTTTATGGTTTAATTTTTTTTAAACCTTTTTAATTTACACTGTGAAGATTATTTGTGTAGTAATTTTTTTTTTCAGGTTGGTAACTTACTTTCACATCATTAGGTTTCTTTTCCTTCAATTTATAAGTGTAGTGCACGAGATATTATATCTGGGTATATATATATATAGTTTTAAAACCGTCCATGCATAGAAAATTTTAGATTCATTTTAGTTTAACCTATTTATCAAATAGTTTGACTAGATCAATTATTTGATAAATAGGTTAAACTAAAATGAATCTAAAATTTTCTATACATGGACGGTTTTAAAACTATATATATATATAATGAAATAAAATATAAAAAATTTACTTGTGATATTTGTATTCTTGAATCATTTCAAATTAGTAAGAAAATATATTTTTTAATCCAATAAAATATATTATTATTTTATTTAAAATTCGTTTGCATAAATTTTATAAAAAATATATTTTATGACTCTTATTGAAAATAGATAAACCAATCACATTTTCAATATTTTCTTTTTTTAAAATGAGAAATCAAACCAAACATGTTTTCAAAATTTCAAAATATGAAAATGAAAATTATTTTCAAAACTAAAAATGGAAAATAAAAATAGAAAAGATTTTCTGAAACTAAGTGCAACCTTGTATTTTTACTTTGCTTTCCACTTTTCCACTCCATAATAGGCATCAACTCAAGTGGTGGTTTGAACACCAATATCACTGACATAATTTATTATGGCAATACTATGATTTTGATAAACGAATTATGATAAGGGCTAAGCTACTATTAACCTAAGAAGGAAAACAAACTGTATAAAAAAATTATTGTAATTCTTCATTGCCTCTTCATCACAATAGAAGTGAAATATGTAGTGAATACTAATCTTAGGAACAGAGGGATAATCAGACCCACTAAAGAAACTTCTTGGAAAATAAAAGAAATTAAAAAAAAAAACATCTCAATCCAAAACAAGAAGAGAACACATGGGTTGGAAGACCCAATTAAACCCTGTAATCCTTAAGCCAAAATGGGGGACGTCTGTCTCTAGCTAGCACTCCAAATTGGCCTTGTATCATTGCTTAGCCCATGAAGCATGACTTTATCCTCGAAGTCCGGAAGAGGCTCTGATGTGGCAATTGTGTTTGTTGGGAATAGTCCATATACGTTCATAGGAAGAGAGGCACGGATCGAGCCTTGATCCAACGACGACTTGGATGAGATGGAGTCTTTTCGGAAGCGCGGAAGTGGATCTTTGAAGTGGGAAGTCAAACAGATTAGGGTTATCAGTTGCATCACGTGTGGGAGAAGAGAGAGGGAGTTCGAGGGAGGCTTCTAGGGGTTCACCATGGAGAGTGGGCACTGCTTGTGGTGGTTCACCGTGAAATCGCTAGATAAGATAAACGTGAAAGACGTGATATGGGACTTATTGGCTTGAGCCACCATTCATTGACGTGCACGACGAAGGTTATCTCGGACGATAAGCATAATCATTTTATTTTGTTGTAGAAGTGAGGCTATTGAAACAATCGTGGTTGGCGATGACACAAAGTCCGGGACAGGAGGAGGAGTGCGGCCTTCTGTAACACCATGGAAAATACTAAGTTATTTAGTAT